GAAAAGTGGGAGTTACAAAGACTATGGCTAGAAAAGCCATAGCATGTAATTTACTACACCGCACAGTCAAATGCGTTAGGCACTGTAACACCAGAGCTCTTTTGTTGTTTATCGAACAAATGAATGAGGAAGAAAGGACAACCATTATAACTACTAGTTTTTTTTCCACACAGACTTAGAAAGCTATCAAACAACTTTAGTAACAATATCAATGATATCACATGAACTAAAAAAAAATCAATTGCCACCAACTCAATTCCAACTCACAATGACCCCGTGTGTGTCAGAGTAGAACTGGGGTCCACAGGGGTATCATTGGCTGTGACTTTTTGGAAGCCACCTGTGGGTAGATGTAAACCAGCAAACTTAAAGTCAGTAGTTAAGAGTTTGACAATTTTTGCCACCAGGTGGCCCATAATGTGAATGTCACTTTTAAATTCCTCAGTTCCTGTTGAAATTTTTCCAGATCAACTCTGTGGGGAAACAAGGCTTATGAAAGGAACATGCTTCTGTTGTCACGGAAATAAAATTCTCGCTCCTAAGCACCTCACCTTTTTATGGAATTTGACACAAAATCATTACCTTTTTCATTCTCTGTTCACTCTTCCCTCCAAACACACACAGAGAAAGCCAGAGTCATACCGAGTCATAGTCCAGATAGAACTGCTGGCAGTCTTGAAGGAAGACCTCCACAGTACTGATGAGCTCCTTCCTGAAGCCGGGCTGCAGTGAGACTAATTCATTCTGCACATCACTGGCTCGCGTCAGAAGCTTCTGCCATGCATAGCGCAGGGTGTCAACTTTGTCCATCTCTTCTTTTGCTATTAGAAGTCCATATTTGTTAAGCAGTGCATAGGATTCCTATACAGAAGAAGAAAATCCCACTAGTCACATACCCAAATGTTCATAGAGCTGAGTATCGGAGCATTAAAATGTAAAAGCTCAGAATGATTGGGAACCCACCCTTAGGGTTTTATTTATCCTACTTGCAAACTTGAAAAGTGTAAATGGATACACTACACTTTGGTTTCCTCATCTTTCAAATGGAAAAATGTCTTACCTCTTTCAATGGGATTTCTATCAAAGAATGTTGTTTTTTAAAATGCATTAGAAAAACATAAGGTAAAGATATTTTTACTTAGCCCACAAAATTACACTTACCAGAACCAGTTGCCATCAAACAGACTCTGATTCATGGTAACACCACATGTGTCGGAGCAGAACTGTGCTCCCCTTAGTTCCCAGCTGTTGATTTTTCAGAAGCTCATCTCTAGCATCTTTTCTGAAGGATATCTGAGAGGACTTGAACCTCCAGCCTTTCAGTTAACAGCCAAACGGTTAACCGTATGCACCACTCAGAGACTCCAAAATTACATTAAACCAAAAGAACCAAACTCACTACTGTAGGGTCGCACTCAACTCATAGCGAACCCTCCTTGGGTCTCCAAGGCGGTATCACTACAGAAGTAGATAGCCCAATCTTCCTTCCGAGAAGTGGCTGATGGGTTTGAACCGCCAGCCTTCTGGTTAGCAGTCAAATGCCTTAGGCACTAGGCCACCAGAGTTCCTACAACTACATTAGTCTAATTTTTTAAAATAGAGGGATGTAATCATGAAAAAAACATTTTTATACAGAAAAGACAGAATTGTATAACTCTCTGCCCCTCTGTTCCCTTGTGTGTAAAGTAGGGGTGGTGGTAGTAAAGATTAAATAAGTTAATATATGGATGGATGCTGTTGATGCCCATTTGCCAGCTGATACTTCCATCCTCTGATGCCAGGAATGACAATTACCACCTTCCCTGGAGAAGTGTTCTCAATTCTCAATGTGGGCTTCCTCATCAGGCAGGAGGTTACAGTCAATGACCAAAGGATTTGGGGATACAAAGGCAACCCCCTTTACCTCAAGGTAGGACCAATGGTGTGGTACAATTCTCGTTCCTGAGCTCCATGTGGGGTCAGGCTGGACCATACCTGAGACCACATCCTCACTTAGCTTTACCCCCATCCACCCTGCCTCCCTCATCCACCTCGTTCCATGACCCCTCACCATAAATCACTTGCACAGGAATCCTTATCTCAAGCTCTGCTTTGTTTGAGGACCTGAGTAACCCTGACCTGACAAGAGGCAAAAGACTAGAGCTGGCTCATACTAAGTAAGCACCATAGTAGGGTTAAGTATCTTCATTAGAAGGAGCTCTGGTGGTGCAGTGGTTAAAGCATTTGCCTACTAACCAAAAAATCTGTGGTTTGAATCCACCAGCGACTCTGTGGGAGAAAGATGAGGCAGTCTGCTTCCACAAAGATTTACAGGCTTGAAAATCCTATGAGGCAGTTCTACTCAGAATCCACACAATGGCAATTGGTTTGGTTTTTGGTATGTTATCATCATTTGTAACTCCAACCCAAAACTGGACAAAACTTCAGGTAATATATCTAGGATGTGGACGTGCTGCTACCATAAACAAACGATTGATTATCAGTTACCTCGATGGGTCCTACTTGAAAGTCGATGGCAATTTGCTGTTCTCTGATTTCTTTCAGTGCTGCCATAGCGATTCGAATATCATCTAGGTCTTTAATTTGGCGATTCAGTTTCTTATTGAATTCTTCCACAAGTGTGAAAATGTTTTCCATCTCGCTCCTATATTTTTTGTGACAGTGGCGGCCTATGACAATCATCCAGGCCTTGGTCTCAGCTGTCAGGGCTAACTTCAAGTCCGCTGTAAAAGGCAATGTCCATAGGTCAGCCTGAAAAACTTAAACCCATAGAAGAAAACACAGTGCAACTGTTCACTAAGACCATGCCAGGAGCGGAGGGGAGACGTCTTCCTACTTATTACTTACTTAATCATTTTAGAAAACTCATTTTTGCAATATGTCAAAACATTTCAAAATACTGAAACAAAAAGTATTGTCAAATATCTCAAAGATAAGCCTCAAATGTTTACTTTTTATTAAAAATGCTAAATTTTAATTCCAAGTACAAGAAAGCCATTCTCTTTCTCTGATATAGCATTGGTTTTCAGAGTTTGCTGCAAAGCGTTCAAAATAGTCTCGAATAAGTAAGCAGAAGGGAACCCATAACAAATACAAAGTGGTCTTAAAGCCTGAGGCCCTCTGGGGGGAAAAATGTCTATCTTAATGATAACTAGAATTCTCATGAATGCAAACCTAGGTAAGCCGACATAACAACACTGCTGAATTTTCCTAACTGCAAGAAAATGAACCCACCTGTGTACAGCGCAATGGAGCCCGCACAGAGGTACTCTGGCTCAGCGTGAATTTCCTGCTCCAAGTTTTGGAAATAGAGAATCTGAGATTCAAATTCCGAAAGTAACGGGTTGTTCATAATAAACGTCCTAATGGTTTCTTCTTTCTCCTTTTGCCAAATGTGATTGTAGCACTTGAAACAATCCAAGGAGGTAATAACTTCCTAGAACATAAATAACAATAGACTGATGCTGAGAAGAGGAATCTGAAATAGTATTGTGGTATTTGCTAATTGCTAATGCTTTCTGCTTTGAAAGACCTCTTTAAAGTGTTGAGGGACAAATAGGTCACTGAGAACACTCAAGTGCATGCGATACGCTTCATCCCCTCATATGTATGTGACAGCTGGACAATGAATAATAAGAAAGACCAAAGAAGAACTGATGTGTTTGACTTGAGGCGTCGGTGAAGAATATCAAATCTACCATGGACTGCCAGAACAATGAATAAATCTGTCTTGGAAGTACAGCCAGATGCTCCTTAGAAGCAAAGATGGGAAGACTTCATCTCTAGTACTTTGGTGATGTTATTAGGAGGGACCATTCCTTGGGGAAGGATATCATGCTTGGTCAAGTAAAGGGTCAGCGAAAAAGAGGAAGACCTTCAATGAGATGGATAGACACAGTGGCTGCAACAATGGGCTCAAGAATAGCAACAACTGTGAGGATGACGCAGGACTGGGCAGGGTTTTGTTCTATTGTACGTAGGGTCGCTGTGAGTCATAACCAACTCGAGGGCTCCAAACAACGTAACAACAACAATGGTTTCCAACCTATAGGCAAGGAGTGGTGTTCTCGCTTTCCACACAGGACACCTGGGTTGGATTCCATTCCTGGAGAAGGCACCTCATGCAGCCACCACCCATCTGTCTGCCTGTCTGTGGAGCTTGATTGTTGCTGGAAGGCTGAACAAGTTTCAGAGGAGCTTCCAGACTAAGATATACTGGGAAGAAAGGCCTGATGATCCACTTCCAAAAATGAAAACATTGGCCAGTGAAGACCCTGCGGATCTCTGAGCCCACTGCGCATGGCATCCGTGGGTCAAGAGTGACTGGGCAGGAGCTGACAACAGTGGTTTCCCATAGATTTATAGAGCTGTTAAACTTTTTTTTTTTTTTGCAGGAGCTCATGATTTAATTAATGAACAGTGTGTTGTGTACCAGATGTCACGGAACTGGGACTAATGTATATGCAAAGGTGGGAGCAGTCACCCAGGGTTAGTGGCAGTAAAACTGTTACCATCAGTAGCCTAAAAGGGGGAGGGGAAGTTTCTACAAATTAAAATGACAATCCCTGGAGACTCTTACAGATACAGCCTTCTTGCATGGAGCTGCACTTCAGGTCAAAAACCAGAGCTCAAAACCTGAAGAATGTAATCAATGTCACAAAATTGTACACATATACATTGTTGAATTGGTGTATATTCTACTGTGTGAATTTTCAACCCCAAACCCACTACCAGCGAGTTGATTCTGACTCATAGTGACTACAGGACAGAGTAGAACTGCCCCATTGGGTTTCCAAGGCTGTAAATCTTCACAGAAGCAGACTCCTCATTTTTTCTCTCATGGAGCAGCTGGTGGGTTCAAACTGCTGACTTTTCAAGCACCTTAACCACTGTGTCACCAAGGCTCCTCACATTCTCAACAACACACTATTAATAAATTAAATATCAAGAAAAAAAATAAATTCCAGAGCTCAAGGTACCATCACAGGAAAAGTGTCAGAAGGAAAAAATACCCTGTGGTTACTCTCTTCCCTCCCTCTGATCACCTGTCAAGACTTCCCATTGGTCAAACCCAGCTGGAATATCCAATGGGATCCTGGTGCCATGTTGCTAAGATCAGTTTTCCATGCAGACAGTCAGGAGAAAGGTAGAGAACGGAATTTGAGTGGCAGACAGATCATATCCAGATTCCAACCCCACTGGGAAATAATATGGAATCACATACCACGTAAACATTCATTTAATGAGTACTGACCTCTATGCAATACTAAATCCTCCCATCCGGGAACATGGTACATGTCTCTGTATTTCCCAATCTCTTTTTAAAATTCCTTGGTAAATGTTAGTCTTCATAGAGATCCCACATACTTCCTATCATGTATGTTCCTAGGGTATTTTCCAATGGTGTTATCAATAGGCTCATTCCCCACTATTATAATAGATGGCTATTGATGACACATAGGGAGCTCTGGTAGCATAGTGCCTAAGACGCTTGACTGCTAACCAGAAGGC